ATAAATTATATAATTATATTAAATCCATTGATATTTTTAAAAACTGGTCAAGAAGCTATCTTAGATATTTATCCTTGATAAAGGAGATAATTCAACATAACCAGCAAAAGATTCCATTCTCTGCATATTTTCTGTCAGTAACACATGTGTCTCAGATACCCAGGAGGGCCTTTTTAATTGGGAGAAAGGTTTCTTCCCTGCAATCCAGTGAATCACAAACAACTGAGACCAAGGTTGACTGGATTGGGAACAAAAATTCTAAAGGTAGGTTATTAGATAAAATAATTGACAGTGATCAGTGCAATTTCTATACTTTGGTCCCTTGACTTTTATAGTCTATCTTTGTGAAACCAATCATATGTTCATCATTAGTTCAAAATTATTCCTGTACAATAACACAACATCGCTGGATACTTTTTTCCTCTAACAATGTCATCATTCAGTTCTTTGTTGGATATTCTACTCTTCTTTCTGGTCATTGTCTTCTCAAAAGAAGAATGGCAAACAGCAGGAAATAACAGGTACTTGTGCTATGATTCTCCTTTAAAGCTGGCCAAAGACAACCGCACAGAATTCTTACAAATGACACTTTGAGCAACATTGAATCTGCGGTGCCAGAGGACAAAGTGCTATAATTTCTCGCACCATAGATCATTACTGAAACTGTAATTTCTGTGGAACTGTCTCTTGCCCCAGGTCTCAGGAAAACTAATGAATTTGCGTATCGATTTATTTAAAAGTATTCTATTATAGCTTATTCAAGACATAGGGCCAAGCACACTACCTAAATATATGTGGCCTCCAAAATTCAGAGATCTACTTCATTTTGTACCTCTTGGCAGCATAAGGCAGATCATCTTAGCCTGTTCAGAAAAAGTGTTCAACATTCTTCATCATGAAAACCACAGAAAATTCACTGAAGTGACAGGTTCCTGACTATCTGTCATGATTTTTCACTTAACTCAAATAATTGCTCTTTATTTGGACTTCTTGAGTACCAGAGACTTCTTCACCAGGGCCAATGTCATATTATTTTAGTAGGCTAATGCAACTTAATAAGAATGTTTAAATAGTTCAGGTCCTTGTAACAGTTCATCTTGTCAACCTGACTGGTTTGAGGGACATCTAAGGAATTAGTAAAGCAGATGTGTCTGCCTGGGTCATGGAGAATGGGCTTGACGATTATGTCTGGCCCTGGGCCCCTTCCTTTCTGTTCTGTGATCCTTGACCACCATAATTTGTCTGCCTTAGAGCCAGCAAACCATGAATTGAAACTGTCAAACCATGAGCCAAATTAAATCTCTCTTCCTTTAAATCGCAGCCATCAGGTGTTTTGTACTGACAACAAGAAAGCTGACCAACACTTCCCCTGAAAACTATGTATGGATAGACAAAAGCAGATTTTAAGCAGTCCTACAAAATGAGAATTTAATTGGTTTTCTGGCCCTGTCACTGCTGTGGTATTGTTTTGTCTGCCGTGAAAAGCACAAATTTGACAGTTCTCAATAACTACCAGGTACCAGGAAGAGTGCTGATGTACTTTAACAAGGATGCTTCCTCTCTGGCTTCAACTTTCATTACAACCCCTTGGTCACTGCAAGATCCATCTGATTTCTCACCAAAAAAAATATCTAAAAGGGCAGTGTAATAAGAGCATCATTCATGCTTTTCTCAGGTTTCTGTCACAGCTCTATGAAAATTTCCAGGAACATAGTATTTCTTTTGTTTGCTACTTTGTTTTTATGATTAGTACCAGGGGTTTACATTTGGCCTGGTGAGTAATATTATTCTTCACTTTATGGGTCAGGGAGCCAGGATACATGTTATTCTAATTAACAAGAGTCACCATTTTAAACTTGCCTTGAAGATCTTAAGACTGCTTAAGAAAGGGTTTGTGGCATTTCCAGGCCCCATGTTTACTTATTTCACCTATTTAAACATCCATCATGACCAGTGAATGATATTTTGAATGTCAAAGGAAGAGACCATTAATAACTATTACCTAAAAATCTTCCTTAAATATGAGAACATTTATTTCATAATGTATTGTCATCCTGATAAAATTATGCATCAGGATCACCTGAAAGGAGCTATAAACGACTTCTGGGCCTAAATCCCAATTTTTAAATGTAATATCATTACTGAATTATACTTCAAATTGGAACACTGGAAGTTGCAAGGCCGATAATAAGACTGAACTCTGAAAAAGCAGCAAAATAAATTTCTATTTTTGGCCAAGAATAGAAGAAACAGAAGGAAAAGCAAATCATCCTCTTGACCTGCTTGCACTGGGAGGGGTAAGAAAAATAAGGTAGAAGAAAGAAGGGGGAAGGATAGGCTAAAAGAGTGGAGAAATATTCACGTATTTTTCTGGACTAGTCATGGCTTCCTGACATGTAGGCACCACTCCTTTTCTCTCCTTTTATGATCTAGTACTTCCTGTCCTGGTAGGTACATCATTTAATAAAAAAATTAACCTATAAATGAAGTTAAAGGGTTCCTGGCAGTCATACCTGCAGCTACGTTAGATTCAACAGGTTTGGCTGGCCCATCTGAAGAGAAACCTTGGGCCTTCATACATTCCAGCCTCAAAGATAAAGAAGATTAGGGTGGGATAGAAATTTAGCTGGGTTACATAATATGCTGGAAACGTTATGTCTATGATATGTCCAGGGAATCTGTATTAGTAGCAAGATTACAGGTGATGTTGATGTTGCTGGACAAGTGACCATATTTTGATAACTACTGCTTAAGAAAATCAACCATAAGCCATGAATTTTTAAAAGAAATAACCTAAAACCAGACAATTTCTCATTTCTCCTTTAAAGTTTCCAAGATGAGAGTAAACTCACATCTGCTTCCTGTTAAACATGACGTTAGCTTTATCTGTTGTATATGTAAAATACTACTTTAGTTTGCTGTGTACCTATTTTACTCCTGAAGATCCAGAATTCAACTAGCTGCATTCACAATCCCTCTGTGTCAACCCATACTGTTTACCACTAGATAGATAGTGTATCATCTTGACACATCTGTGGAAGAAGCCACATTTGATTTTGAATGAATTGTTCCTTGGTGCCTATAAAACCACAGTAAATGAAACAGTATGTCTCTGTAGCACTCCTCTCTAGCCATGTCTAAAGTACATTGTTCACAATCTTAATAGAGGAATACCTACTTTCTCACCATACAGGTACCTACTTATCCCTGGAACTTTCTAGAAAGCTGTGAGACTTAAATAGTACATTGATGTTAAACATATATGAAGGCTCTAAACTACTTAGGCTAAGTTTGCTTTGCTTCCCAGAAAACATGCTGTTTTCTCAAACTGATACTGTCATATCATTTTTAAAATATGAATTTCATTGTTAATTTTATTAAAATTTCAGGTATGAAATTAAAAACTACATTTAATATATTCGTGAGGTTCATCCAAATCAAATCAAACTGTAAATAAAACACATTCTCATAAACAAAAATAAATATATGTATTTCTGAAAATGAACATACTGAAAATATAGCTATATAATTAAAAATGATTTGTACAAAGATATGGGACATTTACTATTCAAAAACAATTAAAAAAACAAAAACAATTCCATGCATATAAAGTTGATATTTCTAATTAAAATTACTTTTTTGCCTGAATTAGTGAGAATTTCAGAGCTTTGAAAATAAATTACAGCTTATCATATATTCATGAAGTTTTTAAAATGGTCATTCTACAGAGAGGGTTATAGAATATACATGCTATTGAAGTAGGCATTACAAAATTTTCCTTGTGGTTCACAGTTGAATAAATTTTATCAGATTTGCCAAAGAACTCAAAATGTTCTTTAAAATCCACAAAGAAAGATTGTCTTCTTTCTTTACCTGTCTTTAATATAAATCTTCAAAAACACACATATACACAAAAAATAAAAATAAAAATAAAAAAGCACCTGAGGGACTGTTTGACAGATAAATAGAGCAACTGCCATCCAGAGAGACTTCAAAATAACTTCTTGAAAAACAATACCTTTAAAAGAAAAAAGTCTCCTCTCAGAAGACCCCAATCATAGCAATAGTACACACAGTAAAAACTAAAGATAAAACTGACAGTAAACAAATGTAAATCTGATGAAACTTATTTTGGAAAAGAAATGGAATGGAGCACATTAGACTGTCTAAATTACATTCACTTCCTTGCAATCATTCCTGTAATCATTACCTAAACCTAATGTTAACCTAATGTTTCCAAAAAACTAGGTACTCATTATATGCCATACTTCAAAATACAAAACTCAATAGCTGAAAGCTCAAAGTACTAAAACTTGACTTTCCAATTACCTCTTTTTCTTTCAACACTTAAATCAATTTCTACAGACAATCTGAGACTCTGGGATGAATGTGTATATATCTTTTCTTATTTCTAGCCATTTATATAATTACTTGTTTCTTCCCATCATTGTTACAATTTGAATGGCAGTATTGATCTGCTTTTTATGCTGTACATGGTGAATTCATGAGAAATTGTGTTGTAGATTCTACTTTTTATCTGCAAACACCTCTTTCCCTGTTATTATAAGGTATTCTTTTGTGAAACTACTTCCACTCCATCCACCCTTGTTCTCCAATTTCACCACTTAGTGGAACAATAGATATAATGGTAAGGTGGACTCTTACCATTTCTTTTGTTTGTTTTTTCCCCAGTTAGAAATTTTATTTCATGATGAATCTAGGGGTCAGAATCCTTTGTGACTTGGACCTGTTGCTACCTGCAGACACATTTCCAGGAATTACACTATGTCTCACTGTGGAGTACAGGTATTCTCTTACCCTTTTGCACCATTTGAAATCACATACCTCACAAACACTCATTTTAAAAGAAAGTCAAGGTTATATTACCTACAGTGATTTTGCTTCTGAATCAGAACTTGTACTACTAACAAAGAAAATACCTACTCTCTTGCAGAATGATCATATTTGCAAATATAGTCAATATTTAAGGTCTAAAGAGTTAGCACATGGTCTTTTGTTATATGATATCAGTAGGAAAGACAAAAATAGAGGTTATATTATGTTTAAATTAATGTTTGTGTTATTAACCTTACAAATTCTACATTAGCTAAATGTTAAAATATTCACAAATATCTTGCTCGCTTATTAGGAATCCAAAAGTCTGTAAATATAATACAAATATTTTATATAACATTGAATAAAATTATCATTACCACTTTTTCAGAAAGTTGAGTTTGTATAGCATGACCCCAATGAAACAGAGAGTTAATCCTGATTATGAAATTTAAGCAGTAATCCCAGGTATTATGCCTTGTTTTAGTAGCACTAAATCCTGGATTTCAGTCTTAAATCTGCTATTTAAATGTAATAAATTCTCCATTGTAAAAATACAGGCAGGTTACTGTACTTGGTGATTGCCAGGTCCTCTTTGCCTTCTTTTCCACTTGTCTGCCTATAAAACATTGCTATATTTGTGTGTGCCTTTGTACTTGCACATGAATGCATGCATGGACACATACTATGAAGCCCTCAGTAACACTTATCTTTAAAAACAAAATGATCATTTTAAAGTAGATTTTTTAAATCTTTACACTGCTATTTAAGACAGATAATTCTGTGATGGGCTGAGTAGAGAGGTTCTTTTGTACATGGTAGAATATTTAGTAGAATCCCTGGTCTTTATTCAGTAGGTTGAAGTGGTAACAGTGGCCATTGTGATGGTGATAAATGTTTGCAGACATCATCCAGTGACTTTGGGGACCATAAGGAAATACTGATTTACAAGGAGAATATAAAAAGAATTTTACCATAAGAAGAAATTAGAAACGCTGTCATACAGACTAGAGTATTACAGGTCTTAGAATTCCTTGTAACACAAAATCTTTGCTACTATTTTCAATTTAAAACCTGCCTTAGTATTCTTTGTGTTTGTTTCTGGTTAGTCATCTTCTCTTTACTGAACCAAGTAACATACCTGCATCAATGACCATTACAACACTATTTTGAGCACTTAGTTATCCATTTTTCAACTATCTGTGATACACAATTAGTTATTTTCTTTCTTTATGTAATAATATATATGCTTTAAATATATAAATGTCTTCTCATTATGAGCCAGAAACTACACTGAGTTTACAGATGTTACTGCCTACACATCTCTTTATCTCCCCGTTAGGTTCTGTTATTTTCTCTAATTTGTAACTGAATCATGAAATGAATTCTCTTTGAGAAGGTCTCAAGGTGTTTAATCGCAGGACACAGATATGTACAGGATCTGGTACTACTGCAGAACTGACTGCACCTCTGCCTGGCATTTGACTAATTGTACACTAACACTTCTCCGTAAGACAGTGAGCTCCATGAACTCAGGAATGATGGATCTTCTTAATCAGCTTTGTGTTCCCTCTGTCTCTTGTCAGCTCCAGCAGCTTGCATGCAGACCCTGCCGAACTGAACTATTTTTCTCTAGCCAGGAATTGCTTTACATCTTTGGTCCCCAGACTCCAGAAATAATACTTTTTATTTGGCCTCCTCACTTTTCTATACTGGAGTTAAAAGACAGAAAGCACTGGATTTTGACAGCACAGCTTGGTTAACTTTTAATTTTTATTTTGTTGTGCTCCCTACTGTTCCTTTTTTTCTCCTATGCTACATTTCTTGCTGTTTTTAATAAACTCACCTTGGTCTGATGCTCATTTTAATCAGCACATATGGAAAACACCAGGATAACTTTTTTGTTTTTGTTTTTTTTAATCTAGGACTCTTCAAGAAAATTTAAATAACCCTTGCTGAAGTCATCAGTTAGAAGCGTTAAGATCCTTGGGGGAAAGTGGGAAGGGTAGGGGAAAGGAAATCAGGGAACAGAAAAAAAAAACATAAGAAAATTAAAAAATGGAAACAAAGTATTTGAATATAGGGAAGGGAGGAGGGTGAGAAGGGAGGGCAGGGACAAGGGGAAAAAATGAGAACCAAGACCTGTCATGTAAAGGTACAAGATCCCATTGATGAATATAACTGTACTGTATACCTAAAATGTACCAATAAACTCAATGAGGAAAAAAAAAAAAGACTCTTGGGGGAAGTGTGTGGAAAGATGAATGTAAAAATGCTACACTGCTAAAGTAAAGACAAAGAAATTAGTCTTGTACAGGATTGATCTGAGAGTATACTATGGCTTTAAAATTCGGAATCAGAAGTAATAAAAACTGTCTTGTTAGGGAGGAAAAAATACAAATCAATGTTTCCTGTACAATAAAATACAGCATTTCTGAAAATGACATGATCAATGAAAATATTTGTGATTTCTGGTCGTAAAAATTTCAAAGGGCCATGGCCCTTCAAGTGTTATTTCTTTGTGACCTCCTGTACTGGTCACACCTCTTCCATAATTGCAAGATGGAGATACCAGTTCCCAGGATTGTCAGCTCCAGGCATCAAAATTCTAACAAAACACCATTCAAAAAACAGTAAAAGAGGCCATATGGAACCTTAGGTTCTTCTCTTCCTTCGCTCCCTTCTCCTCTTCTTCCTCCTCCTCTTTTTTATTTTTTGGTGGAGAGAAATGTTTTCCAGAAGCCCTGCAAGAGCTCCTCTATTATCCTTTTGATCAGAAATGGGTCAGTGAACAATCCTAAACCAGTTACTGGCAAAAGAGAATGGGGTTAACATAATTGGTTTACATAATTGGTTCATTCATGGATCATTTCCTGAAACTTACTTCCCAAAACACATTTATTACCGTGTAACTAACATAACAGAGGTCTAGTTAAACAAGTAAAAAAGGTAGAAATACCTTCTCTTAGCCAATCAATATCATTGGCTAAATTTCATAAGTGTAATTAGTGTAATTGAAACTAAAGCGTTTAGCCATTAAGTTTACGAGCACTGAGGCATAAGATTGACCTCTAAACAGTACTCAGGTGTACTTTCATTCCCATAATATGGTCTGTGCACAGATTTGTGATGATAACCAATGAAGGATAGAACCTTGGGCTAATAAAATGGTTGCTTTCTCAGTGTCCAAAGTATTAAACACACAGATGAAACTCTCCAGGCCACTAGGAAACAACAAAAAAAAGTTATACACAGCTCATAGAACTGACTTCTAATTATAATCAGAGAGTAGGTTTTTCTGCCTCATCACACATTGGTGTGAATCAAACTGAAGCCTGGAGCTTAATCATTAGCATTTTGTAACTTTAACTGGGGGCAACCAGGTTATAACTACTACTCTAGAATAAATGTGCATGACCACTTTGGGTTTGAAATTCCTGGGGTGTTAAAAAAAGGCAGAAATTTCCTGTAGCCTCGAATTTAATCATTTCCAAAATTGAGTCATTATAGAAATTTTTCTTCTCCATCATTTTTCCTTTTAATTTTTTCCCTTCAATGTCTTCTACTTTCTTTTTCTTTTTCTTTCTATGTCCCTTCAACCTCTGACCTCTATGATTGTTCACACTGGCTCTTTACTCCCCCTCAGTCCTATTATCAGTATCTGAGCATTCTTATACTGAGAATGTTGTGCAATGTTATGCTAGATTCTTAACATCTTTCCTTAAATCTTGATAGAAAGCAAAGCTACTCTCACTGTCAGCACTAGGTGTGCCCCCTGCCATTCTGTAGTCCTCTGGCTCCTAGACAGGGAAGCACGGTGGGAGGGACATGGCAGAGGGCGTGGCAGAGGGGAAACAGCTGGGGGCAACAGGAAGCAAAAGAGGGATCAAGGGTGGAGAGAGGTAGATAAACCGTTTTCGTGTCAAAAACATGTGTGACAGATTGCTAATATGGCTGATATGTAAGGATCTGCTTCCAATTGTAACTAGTTTTATAACGATTAATACTGGAAACAGCAAACTGGATGGATCCAAAATTAGCTTTTGTTTGAAATTAGAAGTTCTACATTAATTATAAAAGTATTTTATTGGAAGTAGAGTATGTAGTGTATAATATACTTGAGTCCAAGAAGTGCATATTTTACAATTTTAAGAAACAATATATTAAGGACATAAAAATGACTAAGCTAGAGAGGCAACATCTTATGTTTACTATGAGTGGAAATATTGAGCTCTGGGTTTGAATCCTGGCTGTATACCATCTGCTTAACCACAGGCAAATTAATTAACCCCTTTCCTGTTTGTTTTGACAGGTGTGAAAAGAGTATAACAGCTCTTTCTCAAGATTATTATGAATATACTACTTGTATATAATTATTATAAATAATATTACCTAATTATTTTATGTTTAGAGTCAAAAAGATTGTTTATATAAAGATATAGATAGAAAATGCTGGATATTTAAATGCATTAAATGTTCAAGAAAATTAGTGTAAATGTGTCTCTTTCTGTGCAATTAAATAAGCATTATCAATCTTTAATTTCCAAGGAGCCAATATACTTTAAAATCTTTTACAATGTATATTTGCTGCAAAATTCTTGAGTTTATAAGAGAATTTTCAAGATTGTTTCTGCTAAGAATCAAGATATTCTTAACATGTGAGTACTTGCAATTGTATGCACAATATTCTTAGTTTTATTTATTAACCTCAATAATGAAAGGTACTAAAGGTTTTGCTCAAGCAAGTATAACTAATATAATTTCATTCAACTATATTTACGAAACAAAAAATATAGCTCCCAATCCAGCTGCTCACCTTATTTTTAATAAAGTAACACTACATCATAGTTATGGCAATTAATTTGAATAAATTTAAAATTACTAATGTGATTCATAATCATGATTTTGTCTTAGTTACTTTCTTTAGTGGTGAGACACAATAACTGACATCCTCTATTTAAAGAAGGAAAGGTTTATTTTGGCTTACAGACTGTAGAAATTTCAGTCCATAGTTGGCTGGCTCCAAGGCAGGGTGGCATGGCAGAGCACATGGCAGAGAAGAAATAGCAGGTGGCACCAGGATGCAGAGACAGCCATCAAGGGAAGGAGGCAGGAGATAGGTACACCCTTCCATGGCATAGGCCCCTGAGACACCTCCTTCAACCCGGCTTTACCTCTCGATACCACATTTAGTGATAAACACATCACTGATGAGTACCATGTCCCCATGACGCAATCACCTCCCTAAAACACCATGCGTGAGCACATGAGACTTTGGGGACCATAACAGAATAATTTTAATAATTCTTTAATAAATTAAGGTCAAGTCAAAACACAGACTGTGATTTAGAGAATTAGAGTAAGGAAATATAATACCTTTTTTGGTACGTTGCACCACTAATTGCTACTTATTCTACTAAGACGTATCCAATTTTGTCGCAGATAGTTTTTCTGTTCTCTGCAGTAAAAAAGTACATAATGCAGCTTCTTTATATAATAATAGCTATGATTTTACTTCTGTATACGTATTTGCAACCTCATACAATTGTATCACAATATAAACATAATATACGCTTTTTGTAGATAAAGAAACATCTAGTTGAGCCTTGTAATGTCTGTGAAGGAGGGCAATAGATGAGACTTGGGTTGCAGCTATTAATGCTTGTTGCTTTCTGAGGATAGAGTAATACGGGATTTAAAATCCAGCCACTCTGCCCTCTCTTACCTCATAGCAACAACAGCAAAGAAAGTTCTCAGCTATCAGCTATGTTTTCTCTATTCGTGGCTCCACCAGAATTCATTTG